TAGTTATCGGAAATATAATTTTAATTAATTTAGTTTTTTTAACTTATAAAGTTAGAGTTTGGGAATTCGAGGATGTTGTCGAGTGTATATGAGTCCTTAACATATAATATTTTTCGAAAAATAAGTGTTGTAAAATTTCAAAGATAAAATTTTTTCTATACATATATGCCCATGGTTTCGCGAATATATTAATTTCTCTGTGTGTAAAAATAGTTGTAGCACGGTATTTTAAAAAGCTTTGGATGGGCACAAGATGTTAAGGGAATAAATATGACTTCTTTTAAGGTAAGACGCGAGGGTCAAGTATTTACAAACATATTATATGACCAAGTGAAATCCAATACAAAAATTTTATTGTTTCGAGTATAAAAAATATGACAAAATTGACAAAATGTAGATAAAAAAAAATAATTTAAAAATAAAAAATAAAATATTTTTATTAAATTACATCAAATGGGCAAATTCTCATTAAGTTGAGCCCGGAACAATAAAAAACTAGCAAGAATACGTAATAAATAAAAAAAAATGCTGTGATAAATAAAACAAAAATCAATTACGCAGTTATGCGAGCACCAGTGCTACACTCAGAGAAAAACCATTAAGCTACAATTTCTAATTAGGCAAATTACATTTAAACTAAAGCAAACGTAGAACACATACTAGAACTTAAAATAAATTTTAAACTTCAAATTGCAAATCAAAAAATAAATACAAGTAACGTGCTAAATAGTTTAACTAAATCTTAAGCCATACCAAATCATATTAAATTAAATAGTGGATTACAAAGGTTACAACTTTAGAAAAATAAATAAACAATAGAGAACGCAATCAAAGCAATATCATGATATGAAAACTTTTTTTAAATCGAAGATTAAGTAGAAATAAAAAAGTAAAATATTCCAACAATTTAAAAAATAAGATGATATCGCTTAAAAAGGGTTTAGCTTTAATGAAATTAGAACAAAAATATTTTCATGGCAAGTTGTTAAATCAAAAGTAGCATGAACTAGAATGCAAACATTTTACACATGCACGTATGACTATAGTATCCATGTACATTAGGGTGTATCGCTTAGGGCCAATTTCATAATGAAACACTTAAAGTTCCTTTTGCAAAAGTATCCTTTTAGTTAAAGTGTCATTTAAATGTTCTTTAAACAAGAAGTGTTTTCATAATGCAAAGGCAATTGAATAATAACAAAAGGTTCATTTAAATGGAAATATGTACCAAAGTTGGAAATGCTGATATCGGCAAAATTGCATCAGCTGATTGTTATAAATATGTAAAATTATAGCTACGAAAACTACTACTAACTACTTTTTTTCTTACAAATAGGACCATTACGTAATTTAAATTTCCATTTTGGGTATTTAACTAAAGAGCCTTTATGGACACCTTCATCTTTAAAGTGGCTTTATGAAATCGATCAGCAAAATAAAGCATCCTTTAAATTTTAAAATATTCTTTAATTCTATTATAAAATCGGCCCGTAATTTTTCCGTTTCTGTTTTTAACGTAAAATAAGCCGTGCCATCTTGGAATTCAATCGTATACGCCTTAAATTAGGCACTCTTGAAGCATCTCGAAGATTTCCGCTGATTCCGATAATGTGCCACGTACCCAAGCTATTGTTATGGGACATCTCACGCGTCAACCACGTGGTCTATGATAGACCATCTATCCCCGCAATCTCATAATACGTAGCGTTGTGCTTTTCCTGCAGCAGAAAAGCACGGTGGCGCCTTAGCTCTCGCTGTTTTGGGAATCACCTTCCCGTTTGTATCCATAATTGGTCCCCCAAACAAAAAAAAAAAACGAAAAGAAGGACATGCAAGAAAACAAGCGGTATTCTCAATACAATCTTAACCAAAAGTTCAACTTGAAGTCGGGTTATCATGGACCTACAGCAACAAAACTTTATATACATCCTACTTAGGCAAAAACAAAACATAGAGGTTAAGAAAATTACGTACGTACGTAAAAAAAAGTATTTCTCGTACACCCTAGTGTACATGTGTTACACCTTTTTGACACGACATTTTGCTATAAATTTTCATTTTTTGTGGCCTTCTAAACATAAGTAGGAAGTTAAAAATGAAAGAAAAATTTAAATTCGAGTTCTGAAAGTGAAAGTTCATAACGTCCATTGCGTCCCCATCATTGTCAGCGTCGATTAATTGAACACATCTGAGGAGAGATTCTGTAACCGGTTAGCGACAATTTTGGGATTACTATCGCACTTTTTGACGCATGATGTGAATATTTTTGCATCACCAAGTGCGATAACTTTGTGAAAATTTGCTTTAAAATTCTTGACTCCCTAATTACCCCCTTTTAGAAAGAAAAGTATGCCGTTTTGTAGCCCACTTTTCTTGACGGTCATGCATATTTTCTTCTACATACGCTGCATGTAAAAATTTAGCAACAAATTCAGTAAAATTGGTAATTCGAAAAAATGTAACCATTTTCTTAAGCAGGGCCAAAATGTATAAAGCTTCTGTTGAATGCTCATTTATGTACATAGTTGTCGTAATATAGAAAAATCGTATCTCCACTTTTTACGTATTTACGAGGTGTTTAGCTACTTGATAGCTTTTCGATGAATCTGGTTATTAAAACTGTTTTTTATTTATTATAAAAATTAAGTATATTATTATATTTATTTTTATTTGGATCTGGCATCTCTAGTAATCATACACTCCTTGCCGAAATTGCTTTGACCTTTTGCACTTATTCTATTAGCTATTCTTTCCAGGGATGCCAACTCTTTTAAGGCGAATTTGGAGGAAATTACTGAAAAAATTCCCCTATTTTCTATGGTATTCCCCAAAAAAACGTTTACTATTTAAAGCACTTCATTGTTATTTTTATTAAAAAACCAAGTGATATCAATAATTATGAGATAATAATATATAAAACTATTACTTCTCAGTATATTTCGCAAAGCATATCTATAATATATGCATGCATATCAGGCATTATTTCTTCGAACTAAAATCAAATTGGTTTTATTTTTAAACAGTTGTTCTGTTTGTAAACTTGCCTCCAAAGTATCAATTCCAAGCCTATTTCTGATTGCAGTTTTTTTTTTAATTATTTTGGAAACAATTTCTAAATACTTATTCATAAATACTTACTTTTAATTGACTGCTCAAAACTTTGCCGGACGTTAGCTTGGCACCGAAAGCGAAGTGAGAAATGGTAGTGTCAAATATTTATAAAGGTAAAATGAAAGTGAAAAGTGTCGTGAAGACAGATTGTTATTAGAAGTTGTAATTTATTCTCCTAATAGCAATGTTCCACTAAGAATCGTTCCTATAATTAAGTCCCCCATAATTTAATGCCATTCCCACGAAAAATTCAAATTTAACCAAATTGGCATCACTGATTCTTTTTTCATATTTAACATTTCTTTTTTGAGTAAATCTAAACATGTTCACTAACATTCAAATATATTAACAGAACATAGAATAGTTGTCACTTGCCGCAAACTTATAAGCAAAGTTAAAAGTTGAGCTAATTCGTGCATCACTGTCTCCGTCAGCTTTGTTCAGCTAGCCTTACTTCATACAAATACATCGATTCAACTTTTTTGGTAACTGCGGTGGCGCTATGGACGTCACGCACTCTCACTTTTAGTCCTAAATTTAATATTAAATATAACAAAAAAGGTTCAACTTTTCTAACAAATATCTTTTCAAATTCAGAAAGTTTGAACAAAATCAAAACTGTTAATTAACTACATATAGTATGTATGTATGTATAAAAGTGGTAGATAGATTTTCCAATATATTTCAAATACATTTTTAGCTAAAACAATATCCAGACAAAATTTGACAAAAAAATAAGTGATTTGCAAGTAGATTCATGGCAACCGCCAGACAGACAAATTCATGACTTTTATGATAAAATGATTGTTATGACATCCTGTGAATCCCCTTATTTTTTGATTGCAAATAAGTTCTATAGCTTCATTGCACAAAATTTGTTAGAAAAATGCAAATTTAATTACATAATTTTAAAAATTTATTGCAAACAAGTTTCACTGTCTGATTATGGCAACTTAACGTAACTTACGGCTCTCTCTTAAAAATTCTGTTAAATAGATTGCTTATAATTGAACAGCCGAAACTTAACTTAACTTAATGCCACGTCGAAATCTGTTTCATTTTGATTCTCTAAGTTCTACGTTCCGTTAAGTTAAGTTAAGTTGTCATAATCAGGCTTTAAGCCAATTATTGTTTATCTATATACATACATTTGCACACAAGTGAAATGATGAGTTGGTTAACAAAGCATTAAAAAGGGGAACAAATTCCATTTATTTAAAGCTGATTTGCCAAAATAGCAAAATTTGCAACTTTAATTATACATTTAATTATTTTAAACTTTTGTAAATTAATTAAATTAGGAAGTGCCACAAAATATTTGTCCACAAGCATTAAAATGGCTTAGCTAAAATAAAAAAATATATATATCAATGAATAAAAAATTGCAAATATTTTTAAAATCGTAACAGAAAAAAATCAGTAATAATACTGGTTTTAAAAAATTTTTAACCAATGTCACAAAACTCACAAATTTTCAAAAACAAAAGTAAAAAAGCATAAATCGTACCTCACTTCTTCGCTAAAAAAATCGTAAAATAAAAAATCTATATTAATTTGAAAAAGTAGATATAATTTTCTGCGTGCTGAGAAAACAATCCGCTTGCCACTTGCCACTACTATACCGCCGGCCTAAAATACGTTTAAGATGTACTAAAACATAATTACGCTTTCTAAAAATCTAGTAAATGCACTTTTTCTCATTTATCTTCTTTTCCACGCGCCTCTACACTGTAATTACCCCAAGAACCGTTTAACGGTAATATCAAAAATCTAGCGTATCAAACGAGTAAAATCTACTGCTTAGTATGTATTCAATAGCAAATAAATATTTTCTTTCATTGAATATAAAAATTTAAAAAAGGGAAATAAGCAATAAAATTAAGCTATAAAATTAAGCTATGAACCATATTGAAATAAATTTTAAACTAAAAACTTTGCATTTTTTTTCCTAAATAAAACTGTGTATTTGAGTTAATCAGGCACTTAAGTACTTCAAAAACATAAACAAAATCAATCGATTGAAATCAACCGAAAATGTTATCATAAATTCGCGACGTCCAACCATGTTCAGGGTTGTGATTCTGTGAATTTTTCATAAATAGTATATACTTTTCCAATTGCTCAGCTGACGCTGGACCCCAGTTGGACTTTGGTTTTATGGCTTGATTGAATTTCTGTTGAAAACATAAATTCATTACACACATTTTATAAAAATTTTCTGATTATTCAACTAACACAAACCTGCATAAAAGTATTGCCCGGCTGCTTGTAGACGGTATATAAAGCCCAAAATGGCAGTTGACCCACACCAATGAGCCATATCAGCCAAGCAATATTGTAAATATATTCCGGATACTCCATACCCTTATATTCAAGCGGTTTGTAGTTGATCAGCGTATAGACAAGCACGAGAAACAGGAGACCAGGTGTGAAAATGGCCCAACAGATGCGCCAATAGAACCCGGTCTTTAGATTGCACATGAACTCAATGTCCTTGCAGAAGCGTTTGACGCCTATAATTATTGAAAAAAAGACATAGGAATTTAAATACTTTACTAAGCAAAGTCTACACGGATCACACTCACCATAAATCCATGAAATAGTCACAATCTCGCCTATGGCCAAAAAAAGTGCAATGAATGAACAACCAAAGAAATCCACCAAATTCAGTAGATATTGTCCACCAGGTGTTGTATAGATCAGGCCACAAAGGAAGCTGCAGATTGCGAATCCGATTGTGATTACCCATTGTGGTATGTGATCAAAACGATCCTTAAATACTGTTATAACACACGAAGACATGCCAATATTACTGCCAATACCTTTGAAGAAGGAATTACCTTATTATTATTCTCCGCTCTAACTTTATCTCCAACGGTTGTCGAAAGCAATACTTACCTAATACGAGGAGCATGAAGAAGAAGAGCACGGCAAAAAATTGCGGTAAATATTTAAATTTTGCTATAGCTTCTGGATATGAGATGAAAGCCAAGCCTGTACCACCCTTAACCACTTTCGATATATCTGTGTTGTTGGTTTCCAGCGCGAGATTGCCAAGTATGCCGAAGATAACACAACCAGCGAGTATTGAGGTAAAGGAGTCTATTGTCGTCACGATCATTACGTCCCTGTGGAGTGAAAGAATGAACAAATAATGAAAAGTTCTTCATATTTTTGGGTAATTGAGATCTTAAAAAAAGCGCAAGGAAGCAGAATATTCAACGGTGCCTTTAAAGTTCATCAATCTGAAGTTATATTCGTCTAAGTTTTCTTTTTTTTCGAATATTCATTTGAAACTTTTTAGGGTTAAAGCACCAAATTAAGGACAAAAAAGTTATGATGATTAATGATTTGTGAAACTGATGCTATAGTAATAATAGAAACTCAGAAATTATCTATACCCTAATAGAACATCCATATTTAACTACACACATTCAAAAAATATCGATATTCCTATTAAAATATGACACCTAAATCACTTTTAAAAATCCTTGGAATACCTGAAAATAGTCTTCAACACTTTTTCAATTCTCAAATGTCTTATAAAACAAATATACAGTTTTTTTTTTGAACGAATTTCCGTCATAAAAATAAGAGTATATTTTGGCACTTCGACTACTAGCGTCGGCTAGTGGTTTTCAGTGAAAGTCGTGATCAGCACTGTCATTTTGTTAATTAATTTTTCCGTTTGGCAACTTTTTCGATTCGGTGTTACATGTTTCATAAGCAGAGTAGATCGTCGGCTCTAATAGGCCAATACAGGCCAATTTTGATTACACATTAGAAAGTGCTCCGTAAGAGCCTTCATATGAAAAGGCATCGCTTTTCTGTTTAAACTCAAGAACAATGTTGTGCGTTGCCTGTTATAGGAAGACCAGGTAAACTAAGAAGTTTCACAAGCCAAAAAGTTGTACCAGCATCCATCAGCTACTAGAATGATGTGATCTCTAACAAACTGTTTCAAAGTTACTATGCTACGGCTACCGTATCCTTTCCGGAAGGTTATCGTACCTTTTCCAGCCAATTCGTCGCACGACTAGAAATATTGATATGATCGATGGTATTCAGTAAGGGACTTTGTCTAAAGCTTTCGGGGTTGCCTGATTGTCATAGAAGATCACACCTTCTTATAAAACTTGAGCCCAATTTAAACAGTTACAGAATCTTTTGATCTTTTTGGAGATATTTTTGACCACCTGTTTACATATATAGGGTTGTCCATGGTTTAAAGCTTATTCGCTTAAATACTTCCATTAGAGTAGCTTTAGTACTTAGTACAGTACTTCTTCATCTTCTGCAACACCTTTGGAAACGCATGCCGAGTCTTTCTACATGTTTTCCTATTAGACAGTGCCCGGTCAGAGCTCCCGCAATGCTAGATATCTGCCCTTCTCAGAGAGTATATTCCTCGTGGCCTTTTCCGATCCCATTCAAACTTCTTTTTTTTGGCGCTGTAACCGCCTAAGCGATTTTGACCGAGTTCAGCAAAGCACGCCAGTCGTTCCTCCTCTGTGCCAACTGACGCCAATTGGATACGCCAAGTGAAGCCAAGTCCTTCTCCACCTGATCTTTCCATCGCAGTGGGGGCCTCCCTCTTCCTCTGCTACCACCAGCGGGTTCCGAGTTGAATACTTTCAGAGCTGGAGCGTCGGTGTCCATTCGAACGACATGACCAAGCCAGCGGAGCCGCTGTATTTTAATTCGCTGCACTATGTCCATATCGTTGTAAAGCTCATACAGCTCATCGTTCCATCGCCTGCGGTACTCGCCGTCGCCAACGCGTAAAGGCCCGTAAATCTTCCGCAAAATCTTTCTCTCAAACACTCCAAGAGCCGCCTCATCGGATGTTGTCATTGTCCATGCTTCTGCGCCATATACCAGCACGGGCATGATGAGTGACTTATAGAGCGCGGTTTTCGTACGTCGAGAGAGGACTTTACTCCTGAATTGCCTACTCAGTCCAAAGTAGCACTTGTTGGCAAGAGTGATTCTACGTTGGATTTCAATGCTGACATTATTATCGGTGTTAATGCTGGTTCCCAAGTAAACGAAATTCTCTACTTTCTCGAAATTGTAACTGTCAACAGTGACGTGGGTGCCAAGGCGCGAATGTGCTGACTGTTTGTTTGATGACAGGAGATACTTCGTCTTGTCCTCGTTTACCACCCATGCGCTTTGCTTCCCTATCCAACTTGGAAAAGGCAGAACAGACTTCGGGGTTTTTGTTACCGATGATGTCGATGTCATCGGCATAAGCCAGCAATTGCACGCTCTTGTAGTAAATTGTTCCTGAGCGGTTCAGTTCTGCAGCTCTTATTATCTTCTCCAACATCAGATTAAAGAAGTCACATGACAGGGAGTCGCCCTGTCTGAAACCCCGTTTTGTGGCGAACGGCTCGGAGAGGTCTTTTCCAATTCTGACGGAGCTAGTGGTATTGCTCAACGTCATTTTACACAGCCGTATGAGTTTTGAGGGGATGCCAAATTCAGACATAGCGGCGTATAGGCAACTCCTTTTAGTGCTGTCAAAAGCGGCTTTAAAGTCGACAAATAGGCGGTGAATGTCGATCCTTTTCTCGCGGGTCTTTTCCAAGATTTGGCGTATTGTGAATACCTGGTCTATGGTGGATTTGCCAGGTCTAAAGCCACACTGATAAGGCCCAATCAGTTCATTGACGGTGGGCTTCAGTCTTTCACACAATACGCTCGATAAGACCTTGTAACCTATGCTTAGAAGGCTGATCCCGGGGTAGTTGGCGCGAATGGCGGGGTCACCTTTCTTGTGGATTGGGCAGAGCACACTTAAATTCCAGTCATCGGGCATGCGTTCATCTGACCATATTCTGCACAAGAGTTGATGCATGCACCTTATCAACTCCTCGCCGCCGTAGTTGAATAGCTCAGCTGGCAGGCTGTCAGCTCCAGCGGCTTTGTTGTTTTTCAGCCGCGTTATTGCTATACGTACCTCGTCATAGTCAGGCGGTGGAATGTCGACTCCGTCATCATCGACTGCGGGCTCGGGTTCTTCTTCTCCACAACTTTCCGTGCTGCTACCATTTAGTAGGGCTCTGGACATCAGTTACTAGGTCGCCATTATTGTTCTTACAGGAGTGCGCCCCGGTCTTTAAACCTTCCGTAAGTCGCCTAACTCTCTGGTAAAATTTTCGGGCATTCCTCCTGTCGTCCAGCATTTCAAGCTCTTCGCACTCACGTATTTCGGCCTCTCTCTTCTTGTTGCGGCAAATACGTCTCGCTTACCTCTTCAGATCCCTATTGCGGTCCCACATAGCGCGCGTTGCGCCCGATCGCAGCGTGGCCCTGTAGGCGGCATCTTTTTTCTCTGCAGCTTCCTGACACTCCTCATCGTACCAGTTGTTCTTTCGGGCTCGCTGAAATCCGACTACTTCTTCGGCGGCGGTACTTAATGAGCGGGAAATGTGGTTCCACTGCTCGCATATGTCGGTTTGTTGAAGAGTGCTCTCTGAGAGCAGGTGTGAGAGTCGAGTAGCGAAAGCGCTGGCTGTCTGTTGTGATTGCAGCTTTTCGGCGTTAAGCTTTCCTTGCATATTTGGGCGCACATTTTTTGCTGCACAGAGGCGGGTGCGTATCTTGGCTGCAACAAGATAGTGGTCCGAGTCGATGTTTGGGCCTCGGAGTGTGCGTACGTCTAAAACACTGGAAGCGTGCCTTCCGTCTATCACAACATGATCGATTTGGTTTCTCGTTTTTCGATCCGGAGACATCCAGGTAGCTTGATGGATCTTTTTATGCTTGAACCTAGTACTGCATACTACCATGTTTCGGGCCCCGGCGAAGTCGATCAGCCTCAATCCGTTGTCGGACGTTTCGTCGTGGAGTCTGAATTTTCCGACGGTGGTTCCACAGATCCCTTCTTTGCCCACCCTGGCATTGAAGTCGCCAAGCACGATTTTGATATCATGACGGGGGCAGCGCTCGTACGTGCGCTCCAAGCGCTCATAGAAGAGATCCTTGGATGCCTCATCCTTCTCTTCCGTCGGGGCATAGGCGCAGATGAGCGAGATGTTGAAGAATCTCGCTTTGATGCGGATTGTGGCTAGACGCTCGTCCACCGGGGTGAACGACAGTACTCGGCGACGGAGTCTCTCTCCCACCACAAATCCAACTCCGAATATGCGCTCCTTTACATGACAGCTGTAGTAGACGTCGCAAGGCCCTATACATTGTTTGCCTTGCCCCGTCCAACGCATTTCTTGGATGGCGGTGATGTCAGCTTTTGTCCTTACGAGGACATCAACCAGCCGGGCAGAGGCACCTTCCCCATTAAGGGTCCGGACATTCCAGCTGCATGCCCTCAAATCGTAGTCCTTTAAACGTTTACTGTGGTCGTCATCATAAGGGGGGGTCTCATCCGAGGCTTTGCCTTGCTTCTTCACTGGAAGTGGTTTTTACGTGGCGGGTCCCAAGCCCAGCGCACAACCCATTGCTGGGACGGGGTTGGTTTCGCAACCAAATACACGTTTATATAGCGAGCCACTTGCTCCAAGCAGACACCCGCTTGCAGCCGCACCTACTGGTGAACAGACGCTGCAGACTTCAGTGAGCCCTTAAACCGAATAAGTCAGAGTGGCCCCACCGAAGCTCCCTCTCTTTCTGCTGTGACCCAAGGCTCCACTCGGATTGGTTACCGCATCTCGCACATGGTTTGCTCACGTTGCCCAGAGTGCGCGAACGAGGACGCAAGAGTCGGGATTGAGTATAGCCATGCAACTGTAACTGCATACCCAGCGCAATGACTATACCCCATTGCACTCCATTCCCATTCAAACGTCGGCCTGGAAATTCGACAAGTCGTACTTTGACTCCATCTGCCTCCAGCTTGTTTGTACATACTTAAGTTCTTTAAGTAGTAGCTTGCAAGTTGTGCATGGCAACCCTTGCGTTTTTTATCAGGAATAATCTGCTTGGTCGTGCCTTGCCTTGCAAGTTCCCCTACCATAGAGTTTGCTTCTATGTCCCTAAGACCAGAGGCCCAAGCGAGATGAAATCTGTTCAGCTTGGCCATATCCTGCGCAATTTTGGAATAAAATGTGAAAGAGCTCAGAGCTTTGATTTCAGCCTGTCTCTTACTAAAAATTAAGATGTCACCATGATAGCTTAGACTGCAGCGTGGAATATGCAGGGCCTGAAATCAAGCTAAGTTTCCGACTGACATCATAAGTAAAATATAAACGTTTTTTCTAATAGCAGTCGCACCCCGGCAGGCAATGGCAAACCTCTGAGTGTATTTCTGCTCCGGAAAACACCTTTTCATAAAAATACAATCGCCGTTCGGAGTCGGCGTAAAACTGTAGGTCCCTCCTCTTTGTGTGACATTAAGGCGCACGCCACAAATCGGCGCAGATGCAAATCGGCCAAACGCTAACAGTGATATCTCTCAGCAAGGAGTAGCGTGCGCTTCCGTCGGTTATCCTACCAAATCCAATGGCAGAAAATCTAAAATAGCATTCAGAGCATCGTTTGTGCATATCATACTACACTAGGGATAGGTAAATTCGATATTCGAAGCTTCGATATTCGAATTTTAATCGAATTTTAGCTTCGAAATGGCGAATTTTTGAAATCGAACTTTGTGTTGCTGAAATTCGGATAACATCGAATTTTTCTAGAAAAAATCGAATTTCATATTTATTTCCAAAAAATCAACTCTTCAACTTTTTTGTTTCTGATTAAATTTGTCATCACTGTGTGTGGCCCTCCATTTGTCTTAGGGATGCAAGTAAAAAATACATGTTTTTCGATCTGATGCATCGAAACAAAACATCTGTGCCAAGAAGGAACTGTTATTCTTAAATAAAAAAAAAAAAATAATGTAAAGTATTTTTTTGTTGATTTTTTATTTTAAATTTTTAGAGGCTTTTACGTTGGTAAATAGCACGAAGCTTTTGCCTGAGATGACCCCTAGTAAAATTTTCCGGAGAATAATTTTCTAGAGTATACCAGTCCTCTAACGACCTTCCAAAGTTGCTTTTTGCGGTATTTAATGAAGTAAGGATCAAAATGGCCCTTTTAGGCGGGAGCTAATAGGTTAAAATTATCTACGAAAATATTTCCCATGAAATTTTATTTTATATGTCCTAACCTTTAATTTCGCTCAGACATTTATTTTAACTATTTTTTTTGAAAACTACTTAGGCCGAGGCATGAAAACTTTAGTAGGCCATGAAATACAAATACGAGCTAACTTTCGCAAATCCGCCGAGTGTTTTACTACTGGATGGGTATACTTCCAGAAAATTTTAACAAAGTCCGGGCTGGTTTCGGCTGTCCTACAGTGTAATTTGAGTTTAATTTTTTAAATAGGTGGCCACTCTCTTCAATCACCTCAAAAATATTGTAATTGTTGCATAGTATTTTAAGCACAATACTTCTTTAACTAAATTCGACTTTTCAAACAGGTGGCACCCCTCTTAAATGTAATTAAAAAATAAAGTTCATTTAAAATCATTTCGATTGATACCCATATTGGGGTAATTTATTTAGCTTATTAAATAATTTGATTTGGATTTTCTTACATACATTCATATGGCACAAAACTAGAACCATATTACACATCTACAGTGCAAGCCTTTTTGAAAATCGAACGAACGATACAGATTTTATGACTTGGTTTTAAATATTTAACGCAAACATCTGCGGAAGCAATTATTTGAATTTGATTTTCTAACCTATGGCAACCCTTTTCATATAACTAAAACTATGTTGCAAAGGACAAGCCTTTAATTTTACACCTAATATTTTTAAATTGAACGAACGATACAGATTTTATGACTTGGTGTTAAACACATATATGTAATACTCCTATATTGGCAGTAAGAGCTAGTACCGTCCGAAAACACTACAGTACAGATATATCAATAAGCACGTACGAAAGAAAAGGAACACATACGTTTATAAATAAACATGTACACGACACATTTACAAAAACGGCACTCAAGTACACAATACATTGACAAAAACAGTACTAGCCTGTCTCGCAAAATCGAATTTCAACCCCCCACAACCCGTCCCTATACTACACCTTTGCTCTCTGGTGAACAGTCGATTATTCCATACAGAAGAATTCAGTCGTCCAATTAGTGTGATAAAAATTTCAAAAAATTTCATAAATTACTCACTTGTGAACGCGCTTATGAAAATTATTATATGAAGCATACATGATTAGCGTGCCAAAGCAGATGGCTAACGAAAAGAACATCTGTGTAATAGCAGCATACCAAACCTACCATTGAATAAAAATCAAATCAAAACTTAAGTAAACAACTATAATTGACGATACTTACCTCAGGATTAAGTAGCTGATCCCATTGCGGTTTTAGGAAGTAAACTATACCATCCCAGGCGCCAGGCAAAGTTAGTGCGCGCCCGAGTAGAGTAAAAAGTACGACATAAGGAAATAAGGCTAGAAAATACGAAGCTTTGCCAGAGCTTTGAATGCCTGAAGAAAAATAAAATTGGAGAAAGCATTAATAAAGCTCAACACATACATACATACATATGTACGTACACGAGTTGTAGTAGAACTTACCTTTAATCAAAGTAACTGCAATCAAAACCCATACCAGAAATAAATAGATCACAAGATCCAAACTTGGCGTCCCGATACCATCTTCAATATTATCCTTTTCGCGCAGCACTACCTTGCTTTAAGTAAGTAAGTAAAACTTAAGTGACTATTTAAGTACATACATGCATATTTATAAATTCATTGTGCCACTCGTACTTACGTGAAATACAACTCTGCTGAGGAGACCAATTTCTCATGAGATGTATTGCCAATTACGCTGGAGTTGTAGGTGGTGATTGACGCACAATTGGCGCCCCATTCCGGCTGACATGTCGCCCAAGGTAGCAATGGCGTGAAGGAGGCGAGTAAGTATTTGATTGTCAGTGCCATAATGGCTGCATAGTAGGTAGTAGCTAATGCTGTAGCGTAAACTTGGCCATACGCAATGCCTGTGGAGTTGGGAATTACGGTTATAATACTTAGATCGATACTTTATTTAGTTGTTACTTAAATTAAATATTTTTGTGTACTCATAGAGATTAAGAAGAAATTGAATGATGGAACTTAAAAAAAAATGGAAAATGCTTATTTTACAGTTGTTTGGAGTAAATCAGAAATAGTCGGTGTAAGCGAGGTGAATTTCAGAAGTTTCTCATTTGAGCATAATTGTTTCAATAAACTTTGCCTGTACGAAAAGGCCTTTTGAGCCTACTAATCTACCGTTACACACCAGAGTTTGGCCAGAGCTATTATATACTATACATACTCGTATCTTGCACGCTACGGCGGTTCTACTATGCCAACCTTGCAACCAAAAAGGTGAATTCGAAAGATATTTTTCTGTAGATGACAAGAGTTTTTATGGTTTCAAAATTGATTGCTTTTTGATTGAATGGGTCAATTAAAGGCGAACGCGGATACGAAAACGAATATAAAGACGGGGACGAGTAGGAAAACGAATACGAATACGATAACGACTGCGAAAGCAAATGCGGAGGCCAATAGGAAGGCAATGACAAATACGAATAAAAACCACTGCAAAGACCAACCCAAAAGGACTACGAATACAAGAACGAATACGAATATAAAGACGAATTCGGGGAGTAAAACCAATAAGAAAACGAAACGAATACGTTTACGAAAGTGAAAATCGAATAGGAGGACGAATATAAAGACGAAGACCAAGACTAAAGATGAGGTTAACATTAAACTTAAGATGCATTTCAGCAATATGAAAGCACTAGAAATTAATGAAAAGAAGTTTCACTTTAGTAGTGTGGTCCAGGCGCAATGGGTTTTGATTTCTTGTTAGTTTTATTTTTTTGTTACCGTTTTATTTTTTTTTTTTTAAGAAGAGCTTTTTTATTTTCACATTTAGTTTAGTTTCGTGTTTTCGCTTTCAGGTGTTTTTGTTTCTGCATCTTCCAGGAGGGTTGTTATGGTTTCAAAATTGGTTGGCAAATGATTCAGGCTATCATTCGCTTATTCGCCTTTTTCTTTCTTTGAAAAAACCCGGTTATCTATTTTCGAATTACGAAAAAACCGGTGAACCGGCATTATTTTACATAGTTTTCATACAGTGAGAATGCTTAAATATGTTGCAATGAAGTCATGACCAAAAATTACAATAAAACTATTAACATTAAAGATACTTAGCATTTATTTAGAACAAAGCAAAGCAAAATAAGTTCAAACTTTTTCTTTAAATCAAAAGTAAAACAAATAAAAATCACTAAAAATTCACGCTTGGTCTCATTTTAAATTTTTTTTATACTTTATTGCATTTTTTCTGACTGGAATGAACAATCCTCGCATCATTAATTCCAGAAATAACAAAGGCGGTGACGTAGTGATCGATGTCCAGGGTATGAGGGAATACTTTCTTATTCAATTGAATGATAACTGCAGAGAAACCAGCAGAAAAGATAAACTCTAGCATCCAGTCGAGGACGAGAATAGCAGTTTCGTGGGTGAGAGGCAACTAGTCTGCCAGAGTTCGGCGTTGAGGAGTTGATAGAGTGCATGAATCATGTTTTGTGAAGGCAGATTCGGATTTCGGCACTCAGGACAGTTGCTATTTCGAAAAGGTGTAGCACTTTGGTTATTCGAAAATACGCATTCCAGCCTTGAAATCCAACAGAGAATCACTCCTGCCAACAATTGTCGTTTTGGGCTGAACAGGCAATTGTGAAGTAAAGCCCATATAAAACCCACTCCCTATCCCTCATCATTCCTGTACTTGTATATGTCGCAGAAGCGTGGTCAGTGACAAAATTCAATGAGGACAATAATGAGCTCATACTCGGCGATGGCTCATACCGCATACGATAGAACTTTGGGCTTTGCGAACTTTACAACCACATAGACATAGTGCACGGCGGCCTTGTTGGCTTGATGAGGACGTAATTGGTGCAATTATTCCAGACCTGGAAGTATTCAACTCGTTACCCGCTGGTGTTAGCAGGGGAAGAGGAAGGTCCCTTCTATGGTGGAAAGACATACTGTGGGAGAATTTGGCTCCACTTGGCACAAAAGAGAAACGACTGCCGTGCTTTATAGGGCTCGGCAAAACTCGTTTAAACGATCGGGCATGTTTACTAATAACAATTAATGCTCGTATTAATGGAATAGGAAAGCTGTAAAGAGTCCTTGGCAGAATCAACGTAGATCATGGGAGTATTTAATAGTTGTATTTTCAGACAGATTCGAATTAAGCGTATCCAATCAGGCTCTGGGAGGAAGCTTGGTAAATGTAAACGATAGAAAACAATTTGAAGACTCTAAGAACATTATGGTGGCCCACTCAGTTAAAGAATAATGCTAAAAAAGTTGGGGCCCTCACAAACAATGGTGAAATTTAACACCAACAACATTTGCAACAGAATTTGGAACTAGAAACGTGTACGGGATATCGGTATCCGCGGAACCCACGGTAGCAGTTTTAAAATGACCTGGAATGTGGGGTACCGGAAGATGTTTAAAATTTTGGGGTTGGGAGGAGAAACATCATTTCCCGACACTCTCGATTTAACCCGCGACTTCCAGAAATACAGAAAATCGTAACAGAACACAAGATGTGATATCTTTCATTATGACGAGAGTAGAATATATATTTCTAAACTATACATATATCCATTACGCTAATTAAGCTTGTTTAACTACAACATCCGATTTAGGAGGAACACTTTTTCGGATTATCTAGCAGAATTTCTTTATCTAATTGAATATTTAAATTAAAAAATCAAAAGTTCTGCAACAAATCACCTTTCATAATGGGTGCCATGTCGAACACCTTCACTGCACCGCGGCTTGCAAACTGTCCGATCAGCACCTCCATATAGTAGATGGGACGCCCGATGAGCAAGAGCACAATGACATAGGGTATAACGAAAGCGCCACCACCATTCTCCAGCGCTATGAAAGGAAAACGCCACACATTGCCCAAACCCACAGAGAGAGCTATGCATGAAAAGAGAAATTCTATTTCGCGGCTCCATTTATCGCGTTCACCACCACTAGCTGGCAGAATATCCTCCGCTACACTGCTGATGACGACCTGTGAAGTGGACTTTAGTTTCACATGTGAAAGTATATGTAATCTGTTTTAAATAATTTTTTGTTTTCTTCGCTTACCGCTTCATCGTGTTTCACTCGTTCAATGTTTGTATGCAAACTATTTTCTGGGTGCAGTGGATCGGCTTCGTCCGCTACAAATTTGTTGAATTGTGCTTTGGGCATATTTGCATTGATTTAATACGTTATTGGCGCGAAAGTGTGAAACATGTGGTACTGATGTAAACTGATAGAAAAGGTATTTTCCAAAAAATTCCGCTTATAGATTTGTATGTGGTTATGTATTTATACTCAAGGCTTGCCGATCGTGAGATTGCAGTTTGATCTTGAGTTGATCTTTTGAAAAACGAATCGTACTGCAATTTACTGATTACGCACACGCGAAACTAATTAATATGTAATACGAAGCAGCAAAAAAGCTAATGCATTTTCAAACAATGTTTGTAAATACATAAGTCTGGTATTATAGCATCTATCAAAGACGGCATCAGTCAAATACAGATCAATTATATGTGATTAGAAATTGAATTTATTTTCACTCTATAATCTGCTTCAAATGTTAAAATCATTGACCCCGAATCCATCTGCTCTGATGTCATTATTTTCGATTTCAAACTACGGTAGAAACTTTCAGCTGCCCTCATGAAATAACAAGATGGGTACAATGTAAGAGAATCCCATCTATGGCTGGATTGTCGGCTCTGTTACACTGAGAAAAGAGTATAGTTACTTTTTATTTAACTAAATATGTTTCTCTCAACACATGATTTGGTTAGCTGATTTCATTTTCAGTATACCGGCTCATCCAGGAACGACTCCAGATATACTTACCCTAAGCCCAAAATTTTAAGGCGGATTTGAAACGTTAGATTAAAAGGTAAAACTTGCTCTAGAAACACTATAAGGACAGTACAGCAAAGTTAGGCTATTGGGTTGAGCCATATGGTCTAACCCTACGAAAACAGATTTGGTGCCACAATACCTCTTCGAATTTAAGGAAAAATGCCTCTAAGCGATTTGACTGCGCGAAGCACAAATAATGTAGTTTGGGTGTCCGGGCACATAAATATTCCTGGAAACAGCATTGGGAACAAGTTGGCACGGAAGAGCTAATATGCAGTCATTAAATTCTGCCCCAAATGCCGTCAGGCCAACTATCTTCAACGACGGCAATATTGAAAATGACAATCACAGGTGGTCCACGAATTAATGGGAACAGGTCTGAGTATCTAGTTATCCTTGATCATCCCTCCGTTCGCTTAGAGGTTGCTTTTATCATCGAACACTGTATAATGGGAATACGGAGAGAGCGTAAAGGCCTTCGTGCTACGAGGAGAAGGTGAAAATTATCGGGCACTTTATCTACAACTGCCCTGGCTTGTCCTAAATACGGCAACATAATCTGAAATATGGAACGAAGAACTGTATGAGCTTTACAACGCCATGTACACAGCGAATTAAAATACGGCGGCTTCTCTGGTTTGGACATGTTGTTCGGATGGACAGCGAAGCTTCAACTTTGAAAGTATTCAACTCGGAACTCGCTGGTGACAAACGAGGGCGAGGGAATCCCCCACTGCTAAGGAAAGACTAAGGGGAAGGACTTGGCTTAACCTGGCAATTCCAATTGCCGCCATTTAACACAGAATAGAAACGACTGGCATGCGTTGTTGAACTCGGCCAAAGGATCCCTGAGTATTTACAACCTTCTCCGCTGTGTACGGCAAAATAAGTGGATCCTTTACATGGGAAAGTAGATGTGGTACATAGCAGGTCACACTAGTAATATCACAATGGACCTTCTGGCTGATATATGACTCCACATTCCGTCAACGTAACTTAACCTAAGCTATAGCGAAGCCCAACGGCGAAATATTCTCCGTGGAACAAAATAAGCTTTAACAATTTTTCATTTTCTATTTTTTACTACATTAAATAAGAATGGTAAATGCACACGTCCTGGCAAGATAAATTGCAAGGCTGAGCTCTCCAAATTATTTGTATTCTCTGAACTCTCTTCCAAATATTTTTCTATTAGGCTGAAATTGATTTATGCCTAAAATCGAACCAAAAAACGTACTTTCAACACGTTTTGAAATAAAGCACTAAATAGATTTTTTTTAGATAAAGTGCGGATGATCACCGTAAGCATAATTGAAACAAAAGGACCAGCGGCGCCACATGTGTGCGAACTACAAGGGCAATGAGAAATTTACTAGTACATATAATCGATGGAAAATCTTCCGAAATCTTCCGAAATCAGAAATGGTGCCTTATAGCAAAACGCATGTGGCTGGTAAACAACCCTAGTCCAGACCTGACTAGGTTACATATATGTAATTGAAAAAATGCAAAATTTTGGTTTTGAAGCATCCCTAGGTGCAAAAAAGAATCATGGTTTCGCTTAGAGTTATTCTGGAGATAAAAAATATATAGCGTGAAAGCGGAAGAGCATAATAAGTACTGTCAAACGCGCCTTTCATATTTTTAAAGAAGTATTAAGATCATGGAAGACTTGTAGAAAAATTATGTGGAACGAGTTGTGGGGGGTGTTTTTAATGAAATTAAAAACGAATTACGTTCACATATGACACAGATTTTTTTATTACTTCGAAATTATACTCTAGATAATTCGGCTTATGGTAGATCTAAGAAATCTAAAACTTCTTTTCGGTAACTCAGGCATAGTAGCACATAGTGCTTGAAGCCCTTGCTTAGTACTGGCCTTATAGGTATTCCATCAAGATTTACCCAGTGGCCCATATATGATACCTATGGTGACCATATGGTATGTTCACGAATTGTGACCCGTAATCATTACTACCAGGGTTCGCAATTCCCTCTTTGTCTGGTTTTGAAGGAATTTTTGCACTTCTTTAGAAAAGATTTAATTGTTTTGCAGGCGTCAGTATATCAGCAAGGGAGATTCTTGATGTAGCTGGCAGCTCCTGCTATACTATTTCACTTATATTAGGTCATCCAAAGGCTCGTAGTTCACTAATTACGTCAGCAGTTACATGAAAGTCACAGTGTCGCAGTAACCACAAAATGTTAAGCTTTTTTATATTCCCGGGCAATTCTTAAAGAAGCTGTTTCTTGGGAATCTACATCAGCTTGTTTAGCAATGCAGACTTTGTTTTGCTATACGCACTACCTTTTGCCAAGTACCAGTCCTTTATCTTAAGCATTGCAACCACTTCCTACTGCGAAATTATTTTCATTTTATCTAAAGCGGGAAAGCAATTATAATCTGCGTCCAGATGTCAGTTCCATTTTCCGTCTTGCTGTCGTCTGTTGCCCATGAGAGTGTCTGGCTATTTTTGAAGTAGGAAAGGTACCGAGGTACTTTCTCCGAAAAGAGAAACTGGAGGTCAGTTTGTCATTTGAGGACAAAAAATTCTTAATATCTGACAAACCTTCGAAACAAGTTGGAGCTCCGCTCATCGCTAATCCAGAAGAATTACGCCATATCATATCTTCATCGCTAAATCCAGGGTTTGTAGCTTCAACAGAGCAGTAAGAAACCGCGTGTTTACCCAGACAACTCTAAGGGCCAGTTTTTCAGTGCCAGTTTAAACTTAGATTAAGTAAACTGAGTTCAAATTGAATAGCTGGCTGACATTTGCTTGGCTGATGTTAGTTTAAACTAGCCAGATCAGGCACTTAAACTGAGTTTAAACTACGGCCGTGCACTGAAAATCTGGCCCTAAGAAATTTCTCTTGCGCTAATACACAAACGTCATCTTTTAAGATGGGGTACGATTGATCTTTGCATTTCCTTTGATGTGGAATTGGCTACCAAACAGCACAAGTGTGGTGGAAGTACACCGACTTGAGATCATCCCCTTGCAACCTATTAATTTGTACAAATATCATCTTTACGAGCGATATTCCAGATAATGTGCAGTGGTTTCGCCTTAAGATTGTCTCATCCACCCCATGTCACCTGTCTGCTGAGCACTTATAGTCAAAGTTAGGGTTGTCAAAAGTCCCTTCAGCATCAGCTAAGCCTTCCTTCCACCTGCATTCGGTTTCATTTCAATCTTTGTTACAAGGTCCTCCGGACATTGAACTCTGGAAATAACCCTTGGTATAACGTAGATACTTTAAACATAGCGTTATATGCTCTTTAGTATTAAAGATGTCAGACTTATCAGAATGAAGCATATTGCTAACGCACAATCGCCTTTTGCTTGTTTGGGAATCGAACGTTTCTCCAAAAAGTGGGTATATGGTTAAACGACAGGCAAGCGTTAAAAGTTCTTATCAGTGGCTTTATGAGCCTTCCTCTCCCACGCTTTACCACCTTGAGATATACGCTTCTGGTGAGGGTACGGATGAAACGATACGAGTAAATACAAGTACATACTCGATACTTATGGGCTGTATCCACCTTCAGACCATACAAATCGTCAGAACCTAATGCGATCTACCTTTGCTTCCTTTAGCAAGCAATTAGGCATGTACATGCATACATACTATATAGATACGGTGACCATATTATGAGAGAGAATACGGGACAAAAAATAAGTTTGCAAATTTTTTCCACAACAGCTTACATAGTAGGTATATTCGACCATTTTTTTGAAAGAGAATCAAATAAGCAGCACTTTCCACTCGCAAAACCGCAAACCAAATTTTTTTCAAAAGATTCTAATTAAAAAGTTTTAAATTTTGGTGAAACATTTGCAGAATTGGTTCTTATAGTTTTTTTGCACAAAGTTGGAAATTCGGTATTATATATTTCATAAAATAAATAATAAACTTTAAATAAACTAAGGAAAAACTTACTAAAATGTCGGGTCGCAATTTCTATTTTGGTCACTGTATGTACTTCTCAATTCGTGTCACAGGTATTCAGATTAGAAAGTAATAACTGTTTATGGAGAAAATTGCGATCATATACCAACATCACTTAAAACTCCATCATAGGCATGCCATTTTAATGAGCTGTTAAGGCGTCGAAACACCGAATACGGGACAAATACAGAAAAACAGAACATTTGACGTCCCATATAAAATAAAGAAATTACCAGGACAATGGGTCAAAAAAGAGGACTGTCCCATATAAAACAGGACGGATGGTCACCGTATATATATAAACCCTTGCCTTTACTACCAGTGTTGCCATTTGAAATATTTCCGACTACATTGAGCTTTTTTATTTGGACTTAGCTTTTAGCTTTTACTTGAAATTACTTAGCTTTTTACTTTTGCTCAAAATATTAAGTGCAAATTTAAATAGTGTAAACATGTTTTATGCAATTATTATTGTTAGGTATGGAATGCAAAACAAATACAAATCGATGTCTGAGTGGAATATCAAGCTATCTCGG